CAAAAGTATTTTTCAGAGCAAAGAATATGATCAGGGATAAAAATAGCCATTCCATAATAATAAAAGGGTCAGTTTATCAAGAGTACATAATCCTAAACCAAACTTGGTCTATGTACCTAATAACAGAGCTCCCAAATATGTAAACCAAAAATTGATAAACTGTCAAGGAAATATAAACATCGAAATTACAGTGATTTCAGTACCCTTCTCAATAATTCCTAGAACAGGTGCACTGAACACCTGGCGAAGAACTCACAATGGAAATTAGAACTTTTTGAAAAATATAGAATATCAAAATGCATAGATGCCACTAAAATTACAAAAGTAGTTACTTAGGGGAAAATTATAGCACTAAACACCTTTATTAGATAATAATCTGAAAGCAGTGACATCAACATTTCAACTAGAAAAAGAGTACATTAAATCTGAAGGAAGAGAAAGAAAATAATGAAGATCAGAGCAGAAATCAAATGAAATAGAAAACTTTCAGAAAAACAGTAGGGAAAATTAATGAAGGCAAAAGCTGGTTGAGTAGTTCAATAAAATTGATAAACTCTAGCCTACTGATAGAAGTAAAGAGAAAAAGCTAAAATCATGACAAGTTTTACCAACATTAAAAGGATAAGAAAATATGAACAACTTTATGCCAATCAATTACACAATTTAAATGGACTAATTCCTAGAAAGACATATAACCACCAAGCTTATTCATGAAGAAATAGATAAGATGAATGGCCTAAATCTATTAAATTATGAATTGGCAGTTTAAAACTTTCCCACAAACAAAACTTCAGGCACTAATATCTGTATGTTAAAATTTACCAAATAGTTAAGGAAGAAATAATACCAATTATATATATTCTCTTTCATAAAATTGAAATGGATGGAAAACTTTCCAACTCATTCTATGAGGCCATTACTCTACCAAAATCAGACAAAGATGTTACAAAAACAAAACTATAGACCCATATCCTTTATAAATATAGATACATATGTTCTATACAAAATGTTAGCAAATTAAATCCATCAAGGTCTTTTAAAAGAATAATATATAAAGCCAAGTTTGGTTAATCTCAGGAATGCAAAATTGATCTAATGGTCAAAAACAATATTTACCGTATTAACTCATTAAAAGGGAAAAGTTATTTGATGATTTCAGTAGGCAGAGAAAAAGCATTTGACAAAGCTTTGACAAAATTCAACGTCCAGACTTTCCCAATTAAAAAAACTCAGAAATGTAAGGGAATTTCCTAAACATGACAAAGGATAAGTGAAAAATCTCCAGCTAGCATCTTGCTTAACGGTGAAAGAAAAATGCTTTTCTCACAAGAACAACATAAGGATGTCTACTCTTACCACTTGTATTTATCATTTGTACTAGAGGTTCTAGCAATTCAATAAAGCAAGAAAAAGCAATAAACAACATCCAGATTGGAAAGAAGTAAAACTGTATTCACAGGCGTCATTGTGATTGTTCTATGTAGTAGTCAAAGATGCTTTTAGAACAAGTGAGTTTAGCAAGGTTGCAAGATAGAAGATAAATATACAGAAATGTGTTTTATATACTAACAGCAACCAATCAGAAATTTAAATTAAAAACTACCATTTACTCTAGCATCAAAAATATGAAATATTTTATATGTGAACATATATTTATATGAAATATGTAGCTCATAAATCCGACAAAAGTAGAAAAATCCACATGCTGAAAACTACAAATTGGGAGAAGTTAAAGATGACTTAGGCTGGGTGCAGTGGCTCACACCTGTAACCCCAGCATTTTGGGAGGCCTAGGCAAGTGGATTGCTTGAGTTGAGCCCTTTTAGTTCAAGACCATGTTGGGCAGTGTGACAAAAAACCCATCTCTACAAAACAAAACAAAACAAAAATTAGCCAGGTGTGGGGGCACTCACTCGCCTGTGGTCCCAGCTACTCAGGAGCCTGGCGGGAAGATTGCTTGAGCCCAGAGGGCGAAGGTTGCAGAGAGCTGATCACACCACTGTACTCCAGCCTAGGTGACAGAGTAAGGCCTTGTCTGTATAGAATCAGTGCAGTCCTGATCAAAACTCTTGTGGGCTTTTTTGTAGAAACTGAAAAACTTATTCTAAAATTTGAGTGGAAATTCAAAGGACCTAGAATAATAGCTAAAAACAACTTTGAAAAAGGGCAGTGTTGGAGAGTAACACTACCTGATTTCAAAATTAGTATAAAGCTACCATATTCAAGACAGTGTGGTATTGATGTTCAGTGAAATACAAAGATGGTTCACAAATAGGCCCAAACTTAGATACCTAATTTTGCCCAAGATGGAAAGCATTGTCCTTTCCACAATGGTGTGGCCTTTTCCACAATGTCTTTTCCACAAAGGGATACCCATATACAAAAGAAGAAACTTCAGACCATACCACACTCCATATAAAAAAAAAAAAATGAACTCAAAATGTATCATAGACCTAAATGAACAACCATAAACAATAAAACTGCTAAAGGAAAACGTTGAAAGAAATTTTTTATGGCCTTGGAATAAGAAAAGCCTTCTTAGACGTGACTTTGAAAGCAACATCTAAGAAAGAACAAATTGATAAATTGGTCTTCATCAAAATTAAAAACCTCAGCTCTGCCAATGACACTGTTAAAAGAATGAAAAGATAAGCCACGTGATACTGAGAAAATATTTTCACGTCATATCTCACAAAGGACTTGTATCAAGAATATATAAAGAACTCTCTGGCTCACACCTGTAATCCCACCACTTTGGGAGGCTGAGGCAGGTGGATCACAAGGTCAAGAGATCGAGACCAAACTGACCAACATACTGAAACCCTGTCTCTACTAAAAATACAAAAATTATCTGGGTTTGGTGGTATTTGCCTGTACTCCCAGCTACTCGGGAGTCTGAGGCAGGAGAATCGTTTGAATCCAGGAGATGGAGGTTGCAGTGAACCGAGATCACACCACAGCACTCCAGCCTGGCAACAGAGTAAGACTGTCATTAAAGTTAAAGCAACCTGACAGAGCAAGACTCTATTGTTAAGTTAAAGCAACCCAATTATTTTTAAATGGGCAAAATATTTGAAGAGATACTTTAACACAGAAGATACCTGGATGACAGATAAGTCCGGGAAATGATGATTAACATCACTAACTCATTGAGAAATGTCGACTAAAACCACAATACCACTACACACCTGATACAATTACTAAAATGAAATAGATTAGCTACACCAAGGATAAGCATTTGGAGGAACTGGAAGTCTCACATACTTGGAACATGAAACTACATAACCACTTTTGGAATCAGTTGGAGTTATTTAAAAATTAAATGTACAACACCTACTGTATGATCCAGCCACCCAAGATATTTCCCCACAATAAAAGAACGTTGATTCAAACACTTGAATAGGAATACTCAAAGCAGCTTGAATTGTAATAACCAAAAACTAGAAACAGCCCAGATATCCATAAACTGATATATATGGATGAAGCAAGTATGGTACATCCTTGATGCAATGGGCAGCCGTTCTGCAGTTTTAAAAGGAATAAACTATAATACCTGCAAGAAAAATCTCAAAATGATTACTTATGTAAAATTCTAGGAAATACAAACTAGTCTGTAGTGATATAAATAACATCAATGGTTGCCCACTGGCAGGGGAAGAGAAGGGAGTGACTACAAAGGGGCATAAGGGAAATTATGGGGTGTTGGATCTGTTCATTAACTCGACCAAGCCAGTGGTTTCATGAGTGTAAAAATATGTCAGAACTTACCACATTTATGCTTCTGTGTCACTTATACATCAATAAAGCTGTCTTAAAGGAGAAAGGGAAGGCTGGGCGTTCTGGCTCAAGCCTGTAATCCCAACACTTTGGGAGGCCGTGGCGGGTGGATCATGAGGTCAGGAGTTCAAGACCAGTCTGGCCAAGATGGTGAAACCCTGTCTTTACTAAAAATACAAAAATTAGCTGGGTGTGGTAGCAAGCGTCTGTAATCCCAGCTACTCGGGAGGCTGAGGCAGAGAATTGCTTGAACCTAGGAGGCAGAGATTGCCATGAGCCAAGATCAGGTCACAGCACTGCAGCCTGGGCAACACAGCAAGACTCCCATCTCAAAAAAAGAAAAGTGGGGAGAGAAGAAAAACATCTTTTTCTGGTAATAGAACATTACTTTTCCTAATAGACAGTCCAGATGACTATGTGGCCAGCTTTTATATACACTAACAAGAACAAGGGATTAACGTTTTAGGTCATATCTTTGTTAATAACTATTGATATATGATAGAGCAATTTTTATCTATTTTTAAAATTGCTTTCTTATTCTGGCTTATTTCCATAGTTTTAAGATTTAGCAAATTATGTAATGTTGTTTATTCCTTTAGTTGTATTGTTTTCCATAGTCATATGTCTAAATAAATTTAGTTTGTTCCAAATCAGGGATTAACTTTTTAATAGAATAAAAGTAACGTTGAGGTTTACTTTTTAAATGGTTAAAGTTAATGGTTTCAAAGACTTGAGTTTTGGAATCATTCTGCTTGTACAAATTTTATAATGCCTCTTTCATTATCCTCTTTAATTTGATTCATCTTCATTTCATGGTATTTCTTGTTAGGATTTTTATATTAGCTTGTTTTTGGTAACTGTAAATGACAAAGTAAATGTAAATATGACAAAGCTTGGAAATAAGTCATTCCTGTAAACTTCTATCCAAATTAAAATTCATATTAAATTCCTAACCCAAAATGGACACTTAAATTATTTTTCATTTTAAATTGTTAGGCAAATTTTTAAATGATTAGTAACAAGTTTCTAGACTTAATTACTCAGGTTTTTGTGAGTAAAAGTTGTGATTGAATAAATCAGTTCATGTTTAGTGATTTAAAAGGAAAAATGTTTAATCAATGCTGGAATTACTATGATATGTGAAATACTTTGCTGAAAATTCTATGTATTAAAGTAGAAATAATCTTGAAATTCTTAATATGGCTTGTTTTCTGTTTCTGCAGAGTGTCTATAAATGTGACTTCCTGAACTTACAGCTTCAGCAGCCACTCCAGCTTGCACAGGATGCTATTGATGCTTTTTTGAAGCAGCTGAAAAACCCTATTGATTCTCTTCCTGGAGAACTTTTCCATGTGGTTGTTTTCTCTCTTCTTCTTTCTTATTTTCCATCTCCTTACCAGCGATGGATTTGCTGCAAGAAAGCCCATGAACTGTTAGTGTTAAATGGTTTATTACTTATCATCACACCTGATTCCTCCCATCAGAACCGTCATGCTATGATGATGAAAAGCTGGAAGATTGCTATAGAGTCCCTGGGCTTTAAACGCTTCAAGTACTCAAAATTTTCACATATGCATCTGATGGCATTTAGGAAAATCTCTCTAAAAACCACAAGTGACTTGGTTAGTAGGAACTACCCAGGAATGTTATATATTCCTCAAGATTTCAACAGTATAGAAGATGAGGAATATTCTAACCCTTCCTGCTATGTTCGATCAGATATAGAAGATGAACAACTAGCATATGGTTTCACAGAACTCCCTGATGCTCCATATGACTCAGATTCTGGAGAAAGTCAAGCCAGCTCTATTCCTTTCTATGAGCTAGAGGACCCCATATTACTTTTAAGTTAATGTAGAAGCAAAAGGCCCTTTCAGTCCAGGCTTCTAAACTAATTGCTTACACCAATTGGAAATACTAATATGAACTCATTACTTAAAACCTGGTTTGCATAAAAGAAATGCAAAGGTTTACAGAGTTTGCTATTTTTTTCTACTTCTCAATTTTAAAATTTATTCTTATATAGAAAGTTTAAAGTTTCATGCAGAGTGACTCATGTCATAGCAGAAACTACTGTTACTTTAGCATTTAGCACTATCATAGAAAGGTACCTTTTTCTCTTTAGTGCTATTGTGAAAAATGAAGCATAATTTGCTATATGTTTTCCTTTTCAACTTTTCAATGTTAACTATAAACCCTTGAATGGGAAACTTTAAGATGTAGAAAGCTGTAGATTGCACTTTGATGACTCACAAGTTAAATGTGATACAGAAATAGATTGGTTAGTTGTTTTGTGATGCTCTTATCTTTTTCTTTTTTCTAACTAAATTGTGATGTTACAGAAAGCCATTTTATGTTCCTTTTTTGTCTGATGATCCAATATTTCCTGAACTTTTTGTAGTTGGTGATAATTCTTTTTCTTTCTTCCATTAAAACCTCATTTGACAGCATCGGACATTGGGGAGAGATTTCCCCCAAAATAATGTATTCTGATTTCCTTAGTCCTATCCAGTAAACACCATTGCCAAAGTAGTATTTTCAAAACTTTGTGATTTAGGCCTTGGTGTGAAGTATATTTATCTGAGAGTTCACTTTTAGTTTTCTTAAACTTAGGTTTCATTTACAAAATTTTTTATTTAAGCAAGGAACAATATAATACTCAATAATGACCTAAAACACCTTTTTGAAAGGGTTTGCACTTGAAAGAGAGTTTGTTCTGTTGAAACCAACTTTAATATAGGGTCCTCACCTTTCCGTTAAGGAGGTGCCGCACTACAAGTTTCAAACTGTATGGAAAAACTTAAAATTAGCCCTCTGTTGGTGATCTCATAAAATGGCTTTGATGTTTTGGAATCTTAATTTCTATCTAAACTGTCAGAAAATTTTCTTTGAATATATCAATTAGTTGGCTGTGGGAATTTTCCCTTTCCACATTAATAATTGCCTTTCCGTGTTTCTGAATCAGAAGCAAATTATTCGGGAAAAAGATATGTCCAAACAAGACAAGATTAATTTAAACAGTGAAGACCATTTAGTCCACATTGTCTTGTCAGCCAGCAATTGTCATGTAAACTATCATTATTAAGAGTGCCACTGTGTGGATTTTGTTTTCAAGTGGTTATTACATTAAAATTACCTCATACTGAGGTTTTTGCACTGAAATATCACAGTTTCAGATTTCATGGTTAATGTTGTGCGTATGGTTGTGTGTATGTTTTTAAAGGAAACCTGCATTTTCAATAGTTGATCCTAAATTTCATAAACTGCACTTCTTTACTCTGGTAAAACTGATGTTTTTGTGCTTATTGTGAATTGCCGTAGTTACCTTTGAATGTCAACCTTTATTTAGAAATATAAAACTTTTATCCTTTGTGATATAAATGGTTGAGTGTTTGTACTCAGTATTTCAAATTTCACATGCTAAATTAATGAAAGTAACAAGATTGTAATTTTTTAAAGTCAGTTACTTAAACGCAATAAATATTGGTTGCTCAAATATGCCAGAAGTAACTTGAAATTTTTCATTTACTTTCAATAGCATAAGATTCCTTAATATTTAGGATTGACTGTTCTTTCCAGTTAAGCACTACAGGATTATGTCTTGTAGCTTCCCCAAGAGAAGGGAGGGAGAAAAAACAAAAAGCACTGTGTTGAGAATAATACAGAACTATTTTGGTAGTACTTTTTTTTACCATACTGTTTGCCTTTTGATTTGGATAAATACGATCTTGAGAGCAAAGAAAATAATACACCAAATGAAAATGCTTTGAAAGTAAATGAAAACAGCGCTTTTGAAAGGCTGGTGTGATATGACCTTGGAGCCAGCCTTTGTGTTAACAGCTAAAATGTTGGTGCTATAAATTCTGATTGTTTACAGATGTTGATTCTGCTTATGCTCCAAAGTGTGCATGATGTATTTTAAGTAGTACTCTGAGGAAGTCTCTTTATAAAACCTACTACCACTTAGTATAAATTTGTTTGAATTTATATCATTTGTTACTGTAAATTCAGCTTATTCAAATTAGGTTGACACAGATTTAAACTGATACACATTCCACCAAAGCCAATTGAGTGTTTAAGTATTGAAGTTTAAGCAGTCATTGCAGCTTGGTGCCAGATCATGTATGTAATGACAAGAGAAGTTAATAGGGCCTTCTAATACTGTATGGGTACTCTTAAGAATTATTTCATTTGGATATAAAGAAGTTATGAGGCCTCCTGTCACATTCACAACAGGTTCTCCAAAGTAATTTTGTTGTTTCAAAAACAAATGGTAATCATTTGGTTGGATTCTTCAGGATCATGACTAGATCATGTGGTTTTACCTTAGTTGCCAAGTGGTGGGAGGTAGCATACCTGAAAATGTACGTGTTTGTTGTATTTTTTCACATTTTGTGAACAAAGCACATTTATTAAAAATTTTAAATTTTCTAGTATTATTTGTCTGTTACTTGTAACTGAAAGTTCTGTGGTCTTTGATTTATCTCACTAAGTGATTTCAGCATTGAGAAGCAATTTAGAACTTGAGTGACTTGCACAATTTTCCAACTGGATTTCATTTTTGTCAAATCCCTTAGTGTCATAAATTTATTCACTGAGATCCAGAGAACTCATATGACTTCTCATTGTCATATATTGTCCTGTTTATGGCAGAAGCAGGGTAACAGCATAAGTTCTAGTTCATCGTATGTAAACCATATCATATTCTTCTCTTTGAAAGTAAATTACCTAACAGATAATTTATGAGTTATTTCAGGACAGCAGACGTCTTTCTCATAATATGAAGGGGTTTTGTTTTGTTCATTATACAAATGTTTGAATTCTCCCATGTGCTATATGCTGAGGAAGCAGCAAGGATTGGAGTGATCACAGTCCCCTGGTCTTGTGGAGCTCATGATCTAAGCAAGAGTAAAGATAAGCATGCTACATCTACTTAGTATCCATATCCAAGAATGATTACCTGCCAATCCTACAGTTTTGCCCCTGCTTACAATCCTTAATTCACAGAAGTAGGACAGAAAATAAGGAAAGCTTTAAACACAAAACTAGCAAATTGTACATTGTCGATAAGAGAGATGTATTGTTCATTCCTCTAGAAAAGTGTCACCTAAATGTAAATTCTGATGTAAAAGCAGAAAAAAATGGATTCAAGCTTTTTGCTCCATTTTCCCACACCTTCTGAGCACCATGCAGCAATGCTATTCCTCTGCTAGAGTTCACACACTAGGTCAGCAGAAATGTAAAACAAAAATTTGGTTCCTTCTTCATTTTGTAAATTCCTTGTTAGATGATAACAAAGGTGGAAAACAAATTTTATTACTAAAAAAACCCATAAGACAAACATTTACTATAAGGAATGTTTGTATTAAAATAACTATTCTTCCAAAAAAAACAATTTACATAACCATTATAGTATGATAGTTCATGTTAAAGGCATATCCATGAGCCACTGTGAATGCAAAGTTCCTAAGCATATTAGTGGTGGCATACACACACACACACACACACACACTACAAAACCCAATGAACAAGCAGGCTACAATAGCTAACAATTTCATTACTTTTAAAGATCTCTAAATACATAAAAGGAGATACGCTGGTTTTTCTAAACTCTGTTTTTCTCTTGTCAGAGAAATGCAAATCTCAACAATTGGAAAGCCTTTAAATTTACCTTAAACTTGGTTTGTATGCTTTTTTCTAAATTTGTTTCACAATCTCAGTAGGTTTTTTTGGCCGGGTGTGGACACTCACACCTATAATCCCACCACTTTGGCAGGCCAAGGTGGGTGGATCACTTGAGGTCAAGAGTTCGAGACCAGCCTGGCCAACATAGTGAAACTTCATCTCTACTAAAAATACAAAAATTAGCCAAGCATGGTGGCAGGTGCCTGTAATTCCAGCTACTCAGGAGGCTGAGGCACAAGAATCACTTGAACCTGGGAGGCAGAGGTTACAGAGAGCTTAGATCATGCCACTGCATTCCAGCCTGGGCAACAGAGACTCAATCTCAAAAATAGAAAACAAATCTCAATAGTCTAAAAAAAAATTAGTACGCATTAATTTTTTTAAATGAGAATCTTTTTCCATAATGGCACTATTGACTAGTAACTTTCAGTAAATATAAGTTAAGTAGTTTAATGCATTTTGGATTTTATTTTAACCATAAGCTTTGCTAAGTTATTAGAAAGCTATTCTGCTTCTTGTGATCATATAAAACACTTATTGGTTAATGCTTGTTTTTAGTAATCAAAACTGATAGCTGAAACTCTTGCATCATAAATTTTTAAGTTTGGGCCTTTCCATAGTATCAAAGATAGTACTTCTATGTTTTTTAAGTTAAAACTACAAAAAATTAGGCCATAGGCATTGACTGCATAATTGTTCTTTGAATTTGTCATTAATAACTGAAAAACGTTGGATTAGAATGCCCATGTAAACCATAAAAATGGTAGGGAGCATTATCCCCCCCAAAAATAAAACATCAGTAGTAGTTTCTAGATTCAGCCCTGTTTGCAACTCTTTAGGGAGAAAAGCCAAGAAAATATACTTGCATCCTTTTATTGCATATATGTCATACAACCAAGTAAATTACTCAGTAGTGTCCTGATGACATTATTTCTTCTCTACCCTTTGAACCAAGGGGAGGGGTTGCGGGAATCAGCTACTAAGAAGAACATGATTTGTGGTCACAGAGATACTCTATATGAAGCTATAATAGAATCCACATTTAAATTGTTTACATTTACATTCATCCCTAGACCTACAAACCCTTTTTACAGTTAGCTAATGCCACTCTAGCTATGCCCATTGTCTTCTACAGGAAAAAGAAGGTGAACATGACCATGGCCAGTATTAATTTCCTTCTCCCTAAACTCCTGTTCTATAATGCATCTCTGGATAAGAGCATTTGCATTGACAGGCTAAACATGAAAGAATGATGACGTCGGGGGAAAAAAATGTTTTCCAAATTGCCACAGATATTTTTAATAGGAATCCAAGAGATAACATGTTTCCTAAAACTAGGCATGGATGAAACATTCCTTGGGAATAAAGTAAATGGGTAATTATTGGAAAGAGGAAAAATCCTTGGGACTGTCTGCAAGAAGAAAGATGCTTAAGACAGAAAGAGGGCCCTTAGAGCTTAACTAACTGTATAAGGAGTTTTATATTCCCTGGCCCCACTGAGTCATTAGCACAGATTAAAGTACTGGTGTACACTGTGATGGAAGTAGAACAGGGATGTGGGAATTTGGAAGTAAGAAGATACATTTTGATAGGAACCTGGGAATTTGGAAGAAGACATATTTTGATAGGAAAGTAGAATGATCTGGAGCTTGTAACCAGAAAAGGTAGAGGTCAGGTGGAGGGAAGGGCAGCGTGGAGGACCCTGTGGACTTAGGGAATGGTGCCAGTTGGAATGAAGAGATACAGAATGGGAGTCAGGATGTCACAAACCATCTTTTTGGTCTTGCAGTTAAACTAAGCTGAACTGCTAACATTAATTCTACAACTGAGAAAGTTCCAACAAATTATTTATAATAAAATGAAGAACAGGCTGGGTGTGGTAGCTCACACCTGTAATTGCAGCACTTCAAGAGGCCAAGGTAGGTGGATCACTTGAGCCCAGGAGTTTGACACTGGCCTGGCAATATAGTAAAACCTCATCTCTACAAAAAAATTGTAAAAGTAAGCCACGTACAGTGGCACACAGAAGTAGTCCTAGCTACTCAGGAGGCTGAGGCACAAGGATCATTTGACCTGGGAGGCAGAGGTTGCAGTGAGCCAAGATTGGGCCACTGCACTACAGCCTGGGCAACAGACAAAGAGCTTGTCTGAGAAAAAAAGACTAACATTTTCCTCCCTAAAATATTACAGATGAAAAGCAGCAACATTTTAACATCACGCTGTAGATGATAACATTATAAGTAAATACAGATTAATAGTAATACTACTGTGGGATACTATGTAATACACGTTCCCCACAGAATGTGAAGCATGAAATTCAAAAGCAAGCAAGCACAAGTTTTGTGGCAAATCACTTCATGTAGAGTATTACCTAGGACATTATGTACTTGGAGTTGTTTTGAGTAATAATGAATTTTCACTGATCTAGTAGGCCTTGTGATTCTTTTTATAACTATGATGACTATTTATGGGATAGCTAACTCAAGTTAGAGGTCATTTGTGGCAATAATAACATAGTTAACTAGTGTACACCATTCAATCAATATTCATTCACTAATTGAGAATTATTGTATGGATTAGGAACTGTAAGGAGCAGATGTCTGCTCTGTTCTTCAGGGGCTGACAATGGGAACTGAAATACATTAACATTAATACAAAGCAACAAATAAAAACAAACATTACAGAAAACATTCTTGCACTGCAGCATCTTGTGGTACATAGCAATGAAGCATGTTGACTTGAGTTTTTTGACACACTCTTCATAACCCGTCTAGAGGCAATTTATTGTAATATGGGTATCCCTTATCATAGAGGGGCCAAATGTAAATGATGTGGCCCCTCCCTACCTCTCCAATCCAGCTTCCCACCATTCTCTCTTCACCTCCTGTGTTAGAGTCCTAGGGAGAAACACACACAAACACACACACAAATCATGTGCCCACCTTTGCACTAGCTAGTTCCTCTGCCTAGAATTTCTTCCTCCTGTATTTGATTTCCATGGCTAGTTCATTTTTGTTATTCAAATCTCTGCTTATAAACGCCACATCTCTGGGACACCTTCCTAGTGCACATAATCGAAAATAGTCTCTTCACAGCACCATAAAGTCTCTGCATCTCTCTAATTATCTGAAGTTTGTCTATGACCATGTTTGTCTATATATATGGGCAAAGCCCTTTTCTAGCCTGTGTCTTCAGCCTAAATATCTTGCATAAAGAAGGTGATTGATTCATTTCCATATGCAACTGTGATAATACAGGACCACTGCTGATGCTTAGTATGTGAATTTTTTGGGGTGGTCTGGTCCTGTTGATATTAATTAGTTTATTAATGTGTTCTCATAATTAAGATATAGGTCAATTTATACTTCAGCAAAGTCTCAATTAGTTTGTATAAAGTGAAGCTTAGATCAATACTAAGTAACCTGGAGCCATATAATTCTTATTCTGCCTATTCCCACCCATTAAAATGAATTGTATCTAAACCTAAAATCCTTTCTTACCATGTCCATCAGTACTTTCTCTCCAATGGCCAACTCCCTCTCCTTGCTAGTAAAAGAATTTAAGTTTCTAAACCATTATTACATCCTTAAAAGGAATATCTACCTAAATGATCTCTTTAGCCCCACAAGAGAAGTGTTAATCCAGCAGTTTCTTTATTTGTGTAAAGGATATATGATTTGTACTACTTTCCACTGGCTTTTGTATCCAGAAAGATTTCCATCACTAACCCTATGGAAACTTGCTGGGGCAA